GCATTTTTTTATTTTCCGCTCTTTATAAGCCAGGATATCATCAACTACGAACAAACAATTTGAGGCGATGTAAAAACCATAAAACTACACCATTTATTTATTCATTATTATATAAAAATAAACACTACTACTTCTACTATGTGTATATACTTCTGCGCTACTCTCCTACGTAAATTTTAATTAGGCAAAATTTAGCACTCCTCCGTGTGCAAAATGTACCTAAATGGGAACGAAAATTATTCCTTCACTTATAAATATAATAATAAGAATCTTATTCTTAATTTTTAAATGTTCTGTACTTTATCAAAATAAATTATATAAAAATAAGACCCACATTTCAGTCCTACCAAGAAGAAGGATCTGAAAAGTCAAGAAATTTTAGAATTTTTCAATACACGCTTTTAACCCACTATAAATAAGGTGTTGTATAAGATAAGTATACATAATTTAAAGATGATTTTGATATTTAAATTATACATCATTGCGATGTAAAACATCAATTTATATTAATGAAGTAATAAAATCTAATATTTAAATATACAATTTTCTCCTGTTATCTAAAATTACAGTAACATTTGAACATTGAAAGTTGTACGAGAAACTTCACCTTACTATTGAAATTCTAATATATTTACATAGGTATAAGATATAAGGTTAAGGCCATGTTATGCCATAACTGTGCTACTCGCTAAGAGACTAACTGTTGTATACAGGAAGTCTAGGAACCTTCCCATATAATTGACTTTCGATAAATATATATAATAATAGAACACAATATATTAGGCCCACTTGCAATAACATTAAAATCAAACTTAAAAACTCACCATGTTTAAACCTTATTCTATATCAATTTGATAAAGAAAAAAGCTTGTTTGAATGATGTTTTAAACAGGGTAAATCCTTAAATTAATTTAAAATGTTGATGCAGAAGCAGTGGATTTGAAAATTGTCTTACGATGTTACTACGCAAAAAAAAAACAAGAATAAAAAACGCGAGTATTGTGGAATATTGCGGTTGGAACAAAGCTAAATATAAACATAACTATAAGTATACATAAGTATTAGGCTACGAAACTGCTGACGTTCGAGATGGAAAAATCTTACAAATTTTCTCACCTAGCCCCCATCCGCCAAGTCCGTACCTTACATGTACGATAAGGAACTTCGTTCCAATCCAATTACTAATCGGCCTGTCTCAAAGTTTCCAAGAACAAACACATTACTGATTCCACTCTCTGCGAATTAGTTTGCGCGAGGGATCACCTCTCGTTGCGTCCATAATAAGAGGGGCACGTATGCCACTTTCGTGGCATTCCACTGTCTACGTGATTCTTTGTTTGAAAGGTCATTGATCTGTATCTTGTTCTTTCGTGTTTAATGTCCGCCCTTGACACGATTTTATCTTCAGAACATTTAGAAACAGTTCATTTCTCTACTTCGTGGTAATTGTGTCTTTTTTATGGAGGTAGTGTTGTTTCGACGCTTAGGATAGATAATGGCAGTGTCTTCCGAGTAGGAATCATTATCTTAAAAGGTATAATTTTGAATATATTTTTACATAATATCAATGAAGTGCATCGCCCTAATCTTAAAGTAAGAAGAAACGTAGGTTACCTATGTCCTCTTTGGAAAGAAGCTAAAACATGGAAATCATAAACCAGCACCACCTACTAAAAATACTTTTGGTTGTTGATTAATCAAATTTGGTTGTTGTTTATTAGAATTACTCATGAAATATTTAAGGTTTGATTATTTAACATCATTCAATTGAAATTTGGAATGCGAACCAACACCCGTGAAATCCAGCAAAAATTCAATAAATTTAAACATTAATATGTTTAAATTTATTGAATTTTTGCTGGATAGCAGCTAAATCAGTAATACATAGTATTACCCCAATTCCGAGTCGTTGCTTTTACTCCCTACAAATTTTCGACCGGGTTACACCAGTCCTGGTTTCAAAGAGACAGCTAGTGATTTATACAATACTAGCTGACTCGGCGAACTTCGTACCGCCCAAAGTAATAATTTGCAATAAATTAAAATTGCGACTATAATTTGAGATTTAAACTGTCCTATCTCTCAAGTTGGATCGAACTGCACATGGTGTGCGAATTTTATTATAATCGGTTCAGTGGCTTAGGAGTCCATTGAGGACAAACATTGTGACACGAGATTTATATATATTAAGATTACATCCCCAGAACACAGAAAGCATTATGTGTTTAAATACGGAAAACATTATTCTAACATTTTAGAATAATGTTCAACTAGAAAGTTTAAAAGCGAACACTAGTCAGCTAATAACAATGAACACATTTTCGTATCTTGTACAGGGAATAGAACAACAGTGTTGCAGCAGTCTTTCTAGTACCATTAATAAATTTCAACAACCACTCAACCATAAAACTAGCTTCAAATTGAGAGAGAACATAAATAAAGCGCAGACAATCAATACAAATTTTTCGTGAAATGTGAAAATAATGAATAAATTAAGAAGTAAAATGCTCTTATATGTTAACTTCAATGTAAGAGATAAAAGAAAAAGCATAGGATTAAAATAAATATAGATGAATATTAATATCACATAATTAAATTAACTAGATTACTGACCAAGCCAAGCCACTTCAAAGATTATAAACAGAAAACTATATCCCTCAATTAATAAAAAGTGTTTCAAATTAAACAATTAAGCAAACATCACTCTGTCGTTTACAACCAATGCATAATTGTGACAAATGAACTCGTAAAAAATCGCCGTGGGCGACAAATTGGCATGGATCTAAAATGGAAGCGCATATCCGCCTATCTCCTAGAATGCAATCTGGGTTACGAAGACGACCAAGCAACTGGGATCTCGCTTCTGACGTAAGTTTCGTATCAAGTCCACCTTGCACCATATACAGACCGGGTCTAAGTAAATAGGTTTAGACATCCGTGCCTTTACTTCTATGTTAAATACTTAAGTGCCAAGTTTCGTAGAAATGGTATCATATGAAAATAATCAATTATCATCATTATAAGAGAGGTAAGACATAGTGGATCTCTGCCCGTCTGGGGAAGTCACCTGCTACTTACGGAAAAAGACACTGAAATAATACTACCTTTTGGTGGTATTGTGGTTGTTTCCATTTTCAGGGCTCTAAATAATAGGGGCTGGGCCCAGGGCAGGTAACGCGCATGCGTTCATGGCAAGTGTCTTTAAGCAGCGAGTCAAATGCTTGTTGGCCATCCTATTTGACATAAAGAAATGTGCATACAAAACTGTACTTAATAAAGTCGCATGAGGTACAGAGCATAAATGAAATTGGATATTTGGTTAACTTCCTGAATTCTGGAATTACAACCTGAATCTGTTTGGACCAAATGCGACTGACTTAAAGGTATAACATAACTATTAAAAGTATAATTATTTTATTAAAAGACTGAGAGCCCCAGGAGACTACTGTGCTTCTGGAAAGAGCTGAGCTGACTGAGGTAGCTGGTCCCACAAAGGACCAAATAGAGAGTCTCCGTGCGGAAAAGGGGACCTCCGTTTCCGCACGACAAGACCACAAGCAACAAGTTTAACTATGTATACCATAGTGTTGCCCTTTTCATGAATTAGCCAATCCTGCAATAGTAATTGTATTTCACTCAGAACATACTACATATTGACTACGTAGTCTAAAGCAAAGCCTCTTTCCATGTCTATCTGTATAAACGCCAATACCTGCATAAATAACCAAGCAACGAATTTTGAAACGGTTTTCGCCTAGATAATTTTTACAAGTCTGTGAACAAAAACGGACGTTTATACTGAAGCGAAACTATAGTGTAATACCAAACTATTATTACATAAACCTATACATATAAAATAGATAACACGTATCTCAACAACAAATTACAAGATGATCTACGCAAACATCTTTATGTTAACACGAATTTAGAAAGCTTCGGTTTTGGGTTCTCTTAATGAGAATCATTACAAATTAATTGTGGGTTCATAAGATTCACTGAGGAAGTGTGGAGCATTAACTTACATTTTTCGACTAAGTAATAGAAATTGGAGTGTGTCGTGAGATTCTTTTGAAAACTTTAATTAACCATGTCAATGGACCATCGGCGTTCGTGCCCACGTAACTAAATAGTGCATTGATGACACGGAAACGAGGTGCTTTATTTTTTTGGTAACTCTAAAGCCGCGTATCCACTAGAGGCAGGCTCGCGTCGAGCGGCCTCGACTTGAACTAAATAGCCTCAGTTTGAGGCTGCTCGCTCTGAGGCAATGGCTACGGATCAGCTCGAGGCGTGTCGCCTCAGCTTGATCCGCCGGCGGCGCACTGCGCAGTTAAAAGCCAAAACGTCTCCATTAAACACACGGCTCGGACTGAGGCGCCTTTGAGCACGGCACAGAAACCGACAAAATATGGCTCGGCTCGCGGCGACGAATTTGCCTCGCGTCGCGGCGTGCCTCAGGTTGAGGCAGCGTCTCCACTTGCGCAGCCTCGGAGTGAGGCAGCCGCTCGACCCGGGGCTGCCTCTAGTGGATACGCGGCTTAATACGTATAGATCCTGATTTTAAGTTTTTCCTTTAACGGAAACCGAGAGGAGGGATCGATTCTATCTGATTTTAGGATTAGGTGAAATCGCCACAATCTGGTGTAATACTTTTACATGGCGTATTAGTGAACTTTACGTTGCGTACAGGAATATCTTCGTCTGGACTCCAATTTGTTGATGACAGCAAAATTACAGATTTGGTTACTACATAAATAGTGGTATATTTTAATTTTACATAGAGAGAAGTGGGTACTGGTATTTGCAAACATCGTTATTTAATGATTAGCGATTGGTTGCAATCGCTATTTAACTAGTTACTAGCATTGAGATATCAAAAATACTACTGTTAATCACCGATAAACAAAGAAGGAGCAAAGTAAAATCTACCATACAGTAACAAAACATGAGTCATTGTCGCCGATAATGGTATGCTGGGCTCGTCCGGGACATTAACAAATGTCCCATACCAAATGATAACAATTCCCTTTTGTTAGTTCGACGTTTACACTCGTATTTATAAAACGTGTCAGTACTCCAATAAATTTTTAATTTTTAAACCCGTGATTTCAACGAAAATGTTTACGATGAAAAGTTTGGCATACTCTTTGGTGTTTTTTTGTGTGATCGTGAATATTGCAATCGGAAAATATGTGAATAAAAGGAAGTGTCCAGAAGTACGAGCGGTGCCTCATTTCGATTTAACTCAGGTACGGTTAAAAATTCTAAAAATATATTTATAGCCATGTAAGTAGATAAAAATGAACTTGCCGGAATATGTGAGACATCCCATAAAACAGAAAAATAACTATAGCTAAATGTTTCATAGCCGTATATAATATGTTCAGCATTATTGGCAACATATTAACAAACAGAAATTATAATTCTGGAAGCACCATCACACAATGTGTAGGCGCCGGACGTTTTGTTGATGATAACTGCGGACGACGTTCTATTAAATACACACGCGTCAGTTATAATTTTACATCAGTCTCATTGAAACGAGTTGTGATTAAAAATAATAACTTGATTACTATTAATAAAACATTTTTGGAACTGGTACTTATAAGGTCGATTTATTGTCGCGAGACCACGACTCCTTTAGGCCACGGGCACACTACTAAGGAGACTGCGATGCGACGGCGATTTCGTGTAAACAAACTCATATAAACATATTATGTGTATTGCCGCCAACGATATTAAATAGTATTAAATATCGTTGGCAATGCAAGCAAACGTTTCTGCTTGTACTGCGCCGTCGCATCGCGTCTTAGTCGCAGTCGCAGTATCCTTAGTGCGGCCGTGGCCTAATGGATCCGAAAAGTCAAGAAAAATGAAAAAATATAATAATTGCACACAATCTCGTTGAAAAAGTGGTTTACAAAATCATAAGTGTGCATTAAATCCTAAGAAAGTGTCGCTGCCGCAATTGCAGTAACTATAGATTTTAAATAATCTTCCGTTTCCGAATGTATTTAGTGCTTACATAGACAAATACACTTTGTATGGAGTTGAAGAAGTTGAAAATCTTCCAGTTTGAGTATTAAGCAATTTTTCTGTGTACCTGTTTGAGGTGTGGCAGGCTATGGCAACGTAATTACCTCAAACGTTAGAACAATTTTGATTCTGATTTTGTCTTGATCGGTTGTTTTCAACTGCTTGTAACTTCTCTTCTAGATAATGAATAAACGTGTTCTAGCCGACCGTTCCTTTAATGTATTATAAGAAATTCGATTATAAATTCTTATTAACAGCAAATTTATAGGAAAATCTTCATCCTATCAAACTATTCAAAAATATGCCACTGTTCAGACTTGCAAATACTGTTTCCATTCTCTTTCGTTTCTTCTCTTCGATAATGATACATGCAAATGTGGTCAGGTATTTAGAAGTAAGTAATGGTGAAATAAAGAACAGAATACAAACATATACACCAACTTAAATCCTGAAAAAACCCCTCTTTCCATCACTGCTTTTTGGGTAGTGGATTTCCTACAATGCATCACGAACAAAGGTTAAGGGGCTTCTTCGCGCTTTCTTAGAGAGACGAAAGACCCGCCCCTGCTTTGTGACCAGTGAATGTTCTTTACTGAAATCCAGTTTCTATAATACCCTTTAAACTATACAATACTCAATTATATTTCTCCGGAACCGGAACCCATAGTGAAACATGATTCTTATGATAATTACTTAAGCATTATATGAAGACACTAAGCTAAATGTCATTGTCGTGTAACAGTAACAAGTTCAAGCGGACAGCTCAATACTGTAATTTGCATACATTATTCAATAATACGATTGTTGCTTACACTTCGAAAGCCGGTGGCCAAGTGTCCGAACTGTTTTATGCGTCTTTGTGTCATATTTCACTTTCTATTTGGTAAGAAGAGTGCTGCCACTGTACGCTTAAATCTTTTTACCGAGTGGGTGGGTTTGACATGAGATCTTATTGCTCGGCAAACATGAATCTGTTTTACATAAAAAATCCTCTTGAACCTCGACTAAAACAAAAGGAAAATTTAAGTAGATCGGCGCAAACTTAAAAGTTAAACAAATTCTTTGCTCTAGACGGTTTTTTACCAAACCGTGCCGTGCCTTTGTATAACGACAGATTTACATTAATACAGGCTGTAGATGTGCCCATTTTTAGGATTCTAACAACGGCATCTGTAACTTTACTTGTATGGCTGGACCATATATCAAAACAGTATATTAAAATAAAATAAAAACTAGAAAACGCTAAACAACAATTTCAAAATACTATTATGTTAGGTACGAATAACCAAAATGGTCATTGGAATGTATTTTATGTAGAGTTATATGGTTTGTAGCAAAATATGAAAATTTAGTTTTTCATGCTCATGAACAGCCTAACTTTATGTTATTTATTGACGTAATAATATTGGTGATGTATTAATAATATTGGAATGTGTTTTGTATACCATCATTATCTCAGATTACAACTAAAGGCTGATGGAGCGCACGGTGCAAAGATTGCGTGCCACCAAAGCAAATATCAAGTTACAAGCAAATACCAACTCGCGTGGTTCCGTGTACGTAATACGCTCCGTTAATATTGTTTTTCTCAAAACTGTTCCGCTTTGTTCAAACATTGGAAACACTGTTCACAAAGACAAAAAATGACTTGATATTTGCTTTGGTGGCACGCGATCTGTGTACCATGCGCTCCATCTACCTTTTGTTCTATAATCTGAGATCATTAATCTATATATATAAAAATGAAACCCGTTTTCCGTTGTCACGACATAACATGAAAACGGCTTGACCGATTTGGCTGGTTTTTTTTTTGTAGTTTTCTAATACTCTGTACAAGGTTCTTACGGAAAAAAATATAAAGAAAATCCCAAGGGGATAAAATAAGGAATGAAAGTTTGTATGAAACTTTATCAATTTTAAACCGATCGGGCTGAGACTTTGCATGCAGGTATGCATAAGAAGAATCATAGATGAATGTCATTGTGTATAATACAAGTCTGAGAACAAAAACTGTAGTCTACACTTCAGCTCTACACCGAAGCGAAGCGAGGGCGGGCGGCTAGTATGAAATAAAAATAGATGTATTTAACAAATTTAATACAATATCTTCATATTTTGTTCACACTCATAAACATACATGTTTATAAAACATGTAGTATACAATATTTGTTTCTTAGGTTTTCACGCACATCACTCATTAAATAAAACTAGTTTTTACGGGTTAATGCACGAAACTTTATTTATTTATTGACGTTTCGTAGTCAATAAATAAATAAAGTTTCGTGCATTAACCCGAAAAAACTAGTTTTATTTAATGTAGTATACAATACTTGTATCAAACTTGTTGGAGAAACATGTGAAGTAAATCAGTGATTAATACTTGTCAAGATACTAGTTGTCTATGCATTGTAATCGAAAAAATGATTTAAACAACCACAACAAGTATTCTACAAGTTTTGTACAAAACTAGTTTATGACTTGTATCTTGGTGTAACGAGGGGTTAAATCAACACAATATTGATTGGTACTAAAGAAAAACAGACAAAAACGTTTGCTAACGCCATCTAAAAAATAAATATAGCTGGACCGTCTGCGACACCTTACTTTAAAATTTAACATTAAGTAAACAGTGCAAACACGAGCCTGTGGTTGTACAATGTTTAACTTTGACCTTATTACTAAAATCAAGAGTGGGACATTAGAAATATTTTGTCATTCATGCGATTTTTGGTATTGGAGGGATGACATTGCTTTGTAAGAATCTAGTTGTCTCGAACCTGCCGATTTTTTGGTATTTCTACCGATGCTACCGGGCTCTGTCCTACCGAAATACCGAAATGCAAGGATTTTTCCACGATTTTATAGAATACATGGATAAAATACATACAGTCTCCCGAATTCACTTTATGTTTACAGGGAAACTTTCAACAATAAGTATGAAAGTTTTTTGTTATAATAATTATGACTGCCTAACAAGTTAGAAAGGAATATAACAATCAATTATTTTTCGGAAATATGCGCCAACAATATTACATACTAACGAATATAATATAATTTTATATATTAATATAATTTAATATTTATAATATAACGACGACCTCCGTGACCGAGTGGTTTGTACGCCGGGTTTCATGGTGTCGCCGACTCGAGAGGTCCCGGGTTTGAATCCCGGTGGGGGCAGATGTTTGTGTGATGAATACGAGCATATATATATATATATATATATACGTATAGTATATGTACAGTTTAAGTATTCTATGCGTTACCCTTGCATCCCATAACACAAGCCTTACAATGCTTACTTTGGGGCTAGGCTAATTGGTGTGAGTGTTGGAAATATTGATTTATTTTAATTATATACTAACGAATTGAAAATCTCCTCCTTTTTGGAACGTAACGTAAAAAGTAGTCTGTAAGTTTTTCTTTGATAAATAAACGAATTTGATTTAATATTGTATATTTTTTAGTTAATATATTGATTTTGGGTACAAATATACCGATTTTAGTGGGCAGCTCTACCGATTTCGGGCTCTATTCTATATGAAGGAATTCACTTTTTACCTCGGAATCCACGATGTGATTTAAATGTGATTGAATTTCAAGTAAATTTCAAATCACACCGGGGAATATCGCGGTAAAAAGTGAGTTTTTTCTTACAGAATAGCACTGCAGTGTAAATTCATTTGGTGCCTTCACTTTAGGTGACGGCAATGTTGCAAACTAAAAACTGAACTGTTTTAAGACATGTAGGATTATTTAAAAGCACATAATATTTTAAAAAATATCAAAACAATAGTATTTATAACAATTGATCCTCAAAAAATACTAACCTAACCTTTAGGTTACCAATTCTATTTTTAAGTGATCATTTATTATTTTTTGAGGATTATATAAATATTTTCCTTATTTATAAAGTAGGTGGTAGGTATGTGCCAACATTTCAACATTTTGACTAGGGAAATTATAAATTGACAAAAAATATCACAATAATTAAGATAATATAGATTTAATTATAGCAAGAATAGTTATTGATTTTCTTTACCTGTTTACCCACTACAGAAACCATAATTAGTAAATAAACAGTCTGTCACATGGAAAAGAGGCAAAAGCTATGATGTTTTATAGACACGACATACAAGCTTCAAATTTGGCAATACGAAAGTCAGGTTATTGCCCGGCTTGGATTCAGTCGCTCTCTCGCCGCGGTTACACTTTGCTATATCGTGTAAACATTTTACGTTTTTTCAGACAAAAAGCCACATGTGTGATTTTAAATAGTACACAAAATACACGGGAACTATTAGAGACATAAAAACTGGTCGTTTTATTCAGGTCGTTAGTACAGTTTTAAAGAATTTAATGTAAAATATTTAGTGATTACTTGTTTTAACAGTTGCTGACACTATTGACATATGGAGGCTATAGAGCGAAATGTAATCTGCTTTATGAATGAGAGTGAAAGAGACTAATTTAGTGTACTCTATTGGCGGCTGTTGCCAAGGGAAGTTGGGGCGGGGACCACTTGTGCCATTTTTAAATGCCATAATGTTGGCGTATAACCTGTCTACATATTTTACGTTATTGGGCAAAAGCAATTAACCACGCAAAAACGGATTCGGATGAAATTTTGGTACGCATATAGGTAGTTTATGACCTGGATACCTGGATTGAGACACAGGTACTTTTATCCTGGAAATGTTAGCTTACTGTAGAATTCTCAAAAAAAAACTAGGTTCACGCGGATAAAGTCGCGGGCGGCCGTTTAATGTCTATAAAAGTTTTGAAAGTTACTCACGTGTTTTGTTTTCCTGAGAGAAAATGCACATGATGCATTAGGTACCGTATCAAAGTATATGATAATATGAAAAGTCCATTTGATTAGGCAACCCACCTTCAAGTCAAGGCAAATCTCCTTGTTCCTATCTTATCTTGAGTTGGCTACAGGGTCACAATGAGGTGTATTGTAGACACGTGACTTTCAGTAAAAATTTTTAAGGGGGCCCTGAAGCTAGGACCCAACGAAGAGATAGGAACAAGGAGATTTGACTTGACGTCAAAAGTACCTAAGTACCTTTGAGTAGTATTGTATTTCTGTCAGTGAATAAGGTTCCAGGAGTTCCAGGACTCCAAAATGTTGGGGTAGGGTATTACCTGTGTTGCAGGGGTTTGTTAACAGCAAACAAGGGCGGCGTTGTAACCTACCTATTGTCAAAAGTAAAAAGTACATTATGTCTAATTAAACAATTATTTGGCTTGCTATTTCAGATGTTAGGCGATTGGTACGTGGTAGAATACTATGCCAGTGCAGAAGAGGCCCTCTCATACAGTTGTATGAGGGCTGTATTCACACAGGAGGATCACATACCAGCTGCAGGTATGTTTTTTTGTAAACCAATTTACTTTTTTTTTATTATTATAATGGCTCGCACGGTTTGTGACCAATTTGCTTTGTAACAGTATTAGCAAACAGGAGTTTGATGGCACTGATACGGGAAGCACATTAAGCCGTTGGTCCCGACTCGGCTCCATCTGCTGTCGTCAGAAACGTTTGTTGGAAGGCCCATTAAGCTTTTAGTTCCGTTCCTTTTTCTTGCATACCAGCAAGATCTGGAACGAACTCCCCTCAGCTGCTTTTCCTTTTAGCTATGATATCATGGTCTTCAAAATGTGGGTAAACCTTTTCCTTCCCTACCCGTAAGTGGTATTCTTGGTGCTACAAGTTTTCATGGGCGGCAGTGCTCACCTACCATCAGGTGGAGTGGCAGCCTACATAAAAATAAAATAAAAAAGTTCTAACGGTATCTGCAGCTTCACTTCCAAACGACACTATGGACTCTTGGGGCTGATTATCCTACTAATATTATAAATGCGAAAGTCTGTATGTTTGTTACTCAATCACGCAAAAACTATTGAAAGAATTTGGATGAAATCGAACCAACGCATAGTTTATGGTCGGAATTGAGACACGGATACTTTGTATCCCGGAAAAATGTGAAGTTCCTGTAGGATCCCCAAAAAACTAAAGTAAACGCGAACGAAGTCGCGGGCGGCCGCTAGTGGTTAATAATTATCTCTGTGTGATCAATGCAACGAGATTAATATCTTTGGATCAATGGCTAAAGATGTCCTGTAAGCCAAATAAAACGCGAACAATAATAGACTATCATGACCCAATTTTTAATGTCTATCATGATTTTTTTTCTGTCCTACAAATGGAGAAAGTAGATGATACTTGATCTGTACTATCCACCCCATTAAACGACGGGATTGGGGCGACCTGGGTCGATGAAACAATTTGTTCCAACTACTGTTCCGTTAACGGGGCGCAACGACCGGGATGGGTACCGACTACCGACTCAAGTAGAATGAAAAATGTACCCACCTTGTAATAGAAGTCAGGATCAACGAGATCATAGGTCTCGTCATTTTTAATAAAATCGATCGCATTTAGAGCAGAAACCCTTCTGTGTTCTGTGGGCAGGAACATGAAAACGTCCTTTCATACAAATTGACAACAATTTCAGACGGCTCCGTGGAGTGGACACCCGGAGTGACGATGAACTTTACATACCGATTCGCCGATGACCCCCTCGGAGAGAACCTTCTTGGAAACATCACGTGGAGAGTAGACTTGAATGAACCAGCACATTGGACGCATGCAGAAAGCACTTGTAAGTAGACATTAAATTGCGATAAATAAGTTAACCTAAAGAAAATAATTTATTAAGCAGTTAAATGCTTAAAAAATATAGCTGAAATCCTAAATTAATCTATCACACTCAATGTATGTAGGTTTTGTTTATCATGTGAAGTTCCTTTGGTTGTGTCCGAAATTGCTCAGATCTTATCTTGTTCCTTATATAATAATATATATGGTCACCTCGAAAATAAAAATGATTCAAACAAAAAATATCAAAAATCTTTGGTTTTTGTTACGAAGTTCTTTTTATTGTTAGTTTTTTTGTTGATCCTGGCAACATACCTACAGTTAAATTCAGACACTCCCTCTCTTTTAAATCGATTAAAAAAAAGAATGGGGACTGGATGTGTACTCGTATTTGAATTCCTCTCAGCACTTTTGATCTTTTGACATTAACATTTCTTGAGATATAAGGTGCGAATATACTTATAGGGGTTTTTTTTTGCACAGTTTGGTTAGTAAAAGATAGTTATAATTTATAGTCTTTCCTTTCAATTGTTGTTTCTTGTGATAGCTTATAAAGGTTTCAGAGGTTTCATTTCATTATAAGCATTATTATTAAGCATAGCAACCAATAATTGTGATGACACAGTGAGAAAATACTATTCTCAGAGTATCAGCGCTGGTATTTTGGCAGGACCTGTGTGAGTGTCCAAAGTGACCTTAAATTGTTATTTTTAGATGATGGTATATACAACACCTATGTCCTGGACACAGAGTATAAGACCTGGGCCTTACTGCTCCATTGCGCAGAGCAGAGGGAAGGGACCAGATGGCTCAGCGCGTTCGTACTGTCGAGAACTACCGGCTTACCTAAGAATGTTATGGCTTACTTGAGAGACAAATTGCCAAGGTAAGAGAAGTACATTTTCTTTGATTAAGAATTAAAAAAATATCGCGAAAAAGTTTACTTTTATACTTACAATTTGGTTCTGAAAAAAAAATACAACTTCATTAGACTTACATGGCTTTGCCACAAAAAAATTAGTGAGGCGTTCAATTACAGTTGAAGAATATAGGTAAATGTCGTTAGTACAAATTTCTAAATCATGGTTTAAAACAGTGGCTTCCAATTTTTAGGATTTTATTGTTCAGCGATAAAAACACCATGCTATGTTATTGCAATATTTTAGTCTGCGACTGTGTCCTCGTAAAATAATAGATATTCTGTTTGAAATTTCATATCTTATTTTACCCAGTTGTAGTTTTATTTTCGCAACAAAGTAGCTTATTCCACCCCATAATCACTTTTTATTATTATACCAAAATAATTATACCAAATCGTCAATAACAGAGATGATAATTATTTAATTTATTATTATCTTATATGTTGGATATAAGGATGTCGTTGTATCAATGAAGCTTAGACGGGCGTAGTGGCAAGCAGCCAAATTTACTAAGGATCCCTTGCCAAATCTAGTAGATAAGTAATCAGTATTAGATGTAGGCTCCTACGTTTTAAGTGTAAGATTAGGCCAAACTCAATCATGATATGAGTAGGTAAAGCAAAAATAGGGAAATTATAATAGCAAAACAATTAAGTTATGATTACGGTTTAATTAACATAACCGTAGAAGCAAAGCTATGAAAACAAACGAATATTATAATTATTGCACTTTCTGTCTATTAGGTATCAATTCTTGTCTTACATTTGCATAGAACAACTTTCTAGCCAAAAGTAGCACCACTTTTCTTCAGGGCCCAATTTGTTATCAAAATTGAATTGTTAACAAATTTGAATGAGACAGTCAAACGGAATGAGATGCTTGCCTTATAATAATATAATACATTTTAATTAATTGTTGGTGAGTATGGATTTCTGAATTCAATACTTATAGTTTTTTTATTTTTGAGCATGTAACTGCTTGATGTTTAAATGTAAAGAAAATATAACTAGAGAAAATTCCACGCGTATCAGGCAACAGACTCGAATCCGCACCCTTCGCAATCCGGGCGAATGCACTGACCAATCATGCTACCACGGCCCTGATGGCCGCGTCGAAATTCTTCTAGCCATTCTAAGCTGTCAGGGCCGTGGTAGCAGTAACCTCTCTTTATCGTTTTTTATAATTTTATTCATTTTTGTTAGCGGTTGTTCATACCGCTTGCGTGATTGATGACGGCAAGCCCTTGAAAAATGACGTGCAAAATTTTCACAAGAGAATGTCGTCAATGGAGCTTGGTCCCGATTTTCGCAATATTATTTTCCTCTATTGTTTGACTTTGTGTACTAAACTGAGGCTGAGCATTATATTAATCCCTTGTACGTTTTAGGATTTTAATACAATAGGAGTCATTTAATAAATTATAACAAAAGAGGTACCTAGGTAAAAGCAAGTGGACTGTATGGAAATGAAAGAGCTGTATTAAAGAATAGAATAATGTAATGAAATAGATAAAATAAAATAATAAGATAAATAATTAATATAACCGATGCCGTTTCGCTGTCTCCGTTTCGCTGACACGTCAGTACCCCCACCACGAACCAATATCGAATTCGAATTGTTTGCGAGTCCGAAATGTCAATGTCAAAAATGTACTGATCACTTGTTGCCACGCAACCCGTCGCTTTGGTCCCACTAAGTACTAATTCACTAGTCTTCCATGCTGGTTTGGAAGTAAAAAAAAAGTTGAACCGTCGTTATTTTTTGCACAGATTGTAAAATCCATCAATAGATAGAGCCGTCAAATTATCATTCAGAAATTTTAACTTGTGCTAGTAACAATCACTACCCTATAGAAAATCTTAAAATCCAATATCTTAATCCCAAGTGGTTAAAAACATTTATTTGCAGTATTAAATTGGGAAATAAGAATAAATGTATCACAGTCACGCGAACAAGATATTGTTTTTTGATAAATATTAACGACTTGCTGACACTGGGAACTTCGTGTCGCCTAACAGTCGATGAATATGGTTAATTTAAGGAAAAAGGTTAAAGTGAGTCTAACTTAAAAGATAGACATATTCTATCGCGGACTTTTTTAAAGGACTTTCAAAGGGGATCAATTCCGTCATACATGATTTTTGTGTAACTATAACCATTTACGTAGCGCACGCAACTGAAGCTCTCAAATGGAATAATAGTAGCCCATTTTGGCAACAGTTTTCTTTGATGCTTCGCTCCTACTGGTCATAGCGTGATGTTATATAGCCTATAACCTTCCTCGATAAATGGTCTATCTATCACAATAATAATTGTATAATTTGAATCATAGGTTCCTGAGAGTAGCTCGTTCAACAAAACAATCCCTTCTGCTTTATAATATTAATAGATTCCTAAACCGGAAATCAAACCCTAAATATGACAGCTCTCGCTCACGGAGCTTGAATGACTGGGTCCTGAGGCCACATAACCGGAAAAGATTAAGATATTTGTGAATTTCTTTACGAGTCCTTTAAAATATGTTTTGTGTAAAGTTTTGTGTCAGCTGAAATATAGAAAATAATTAATCATACAGAAATATAAAATTTATTTTTTACAGGTATGACGTGGATGTGAAATACGTCTTCCCAATTTCCCATGACGACTGCTCCTCGAAACCTGCCGTTGCAGATTTCAGTCCGATATTCGTCGAACTCGGCAGCAAAGTCCCAAGGAAACCTGGAATTTCTTACAACCTTGCTTTCGGGCATTAGAATATTTTGTATATTGTAAGCTCGCTAACAAAGTAAAAGGCACCTACACTTAATTCGAGCTTTTTTTCATTATTAATTTGCATTTTCTGAGAACATTTATCATAGTAGTGTATATTTTTTTTATACCATCAGAAAGTAGAGGTTTCAACAAACAAAAAACACCCCAACTTTTTTAAAAAAGCAGATATTTTGACGTGAGAATTTTCGATTGAAAATTAGGGTGCTTTTTGGATATTAAGTCAAAATAAGGTGAAAAAAAGAATATTTTAAATCAAATTACTGTATGTTTGGGACATACAAAGGTAAGTTTTCACCAAATTTCGTGAAAATATATTTTTTTTTGCAAAAAATAAAAATCATAAACCAAAAACTCGGTTATTCGCATTTTTCACATAAATTTTGAGGTTATGTGAAAAAAGTGTCGATACAAAAGTTGTAGATCTTTTTATTACCTACAACTTTGCCATTTAACTTTTTTTCATAGGACTTGCAGTTTTACCGGAAATCGAGATTAACCATTTTTTACCCTTAAAAACTCACCCCTCCCCCTTCCCGACCTCAGTTAAGAAATAGAATTTTTTGTTATATTCACTACCTTTTCTAATGAGTTTCATCCTACTATATATTTTTTTCACTTTTCACCATTTTTAAAATTATCGACCCTGGTCTATGTCGACTTTAAAAGAAGACAGACCTTGGGCCCAAAATGTGAAATGCAGTATCGGTAGAAAGTTCGTACAAAACCTGTAATAGGTTTTAGGGTTTAATTATGTTTTTTTTTTACACAGCAGATATTTAGGCTAAACAAAACTGTCAACAACTATCAACATTCTTCAATCGATTGTGAACAATATACACATAATTCAGTTTCAAAATTGATTTCGGAATGTTGACATTTTGTGATGACCTAAGAAGCTGTTGCTTGTTTACATTATAAAATCCGACATTTACGTTTTATGGTTGTTCTTATTGAAAATATATTCTCGAAAAAACAAATATGTATTGGTTTTATTTTTTACTCACTTAAAGTTTATAGTCTATAACAAATATCGCACGCTTGGGTGAAATCTGCTAGGTACTGCTCTATATGGTATATTATTAACTCGAGTTTATAAGTTATTTCATAAAATTAGTTTGTTTTGATGTTTTGAAGGAACTATATTCTGTCTAGCATAGGGATACTCCCTATGTAATTTGTACATTTTAAGATATCAATGAGTATGTTGCCTACTTGATTCTCAAAACATGAGTTTCTTCATCTTATATATTATTTACACACCTAATCTATTTACTGGAGATACCCGGAGAGATTCATTAATTAATAACTCTGAACAAAGATATTAATTAATATTAATTGAGATTCACGATATGAAACAATTAATGGGCAACGAGAATCCCTCGTAATTGGAACGCTGACATAGAGAAGTATCCGTATTAGGCTAAAACTACAGGTACCAAATTTCAACGATGCAATGAGCGGACCCAATAAAAACCAGAAAATACTCCTGCACCAGTCACCCCGCATGCAATTCGTAGGACCGAAGTTCCGGATTGCGCGTTGTCTCTTCGCCACCGCCCCACTTGAGATCTGTTGCCGGACCCACCCCGAAGTATGGTTCCCCGGAATATCATACTGTAAGCAGCGTAAGCGATACGGCTAGGTATGCAAGTTACCTTAATAGGTAGGCGCGTCGCTTACAGTTGGCCGCGTTGCTTATAGTGTGGCCTACGATATTATAAAGCAAAATACTTAGCTCTTAGCGCGAAGTAGACTTCTAGTAACTGACACTATTCAGTAATTTTCCTACTTAAAATAGTGACGCACTGGCTAGCGTGTTGGGTCATCCCAAGTGACCAAAATTTTATTTTTATCAGTAGTCTTAATTGCTTCGGCTTACATGTTGATGCACCGTTGGTGGGATGCATGCAGTCGTTACCTATCAAAACTGGGCCCGCATGGTGTGTGGTTCATGGCCTGATTGCCCTATCCCATCCATAACGAAGGCCTGTACCGCAGCAGCAGTAGAAACATTAATAAGCTGAATTTTAGCCGACAAATTATGGCTAACTGCTGCGATTTGTATCTTTGCCGCATTGCATAACATTAAGAATTCATCCACCTTATTCCAAAACGTGGACCAAAGTAAATCTTATTTTAAACCCTTATGTTATCTCTGCCTTTTCTATAGCATGCAAACGTGACAGCATCAGCTTTAGTCCAGGTTTAACTTTAGTCTACGTCTTGTAATAAGGCAGCATAAGACATAAGACTAGGTTATATAGGGTTCCCCGAGACCGCCCCCATATGGGCGTAGGAGGGTACCGGGGGGTTTTAGTGGAGTAGCATCAGTGTGGCCTTCCGCACTGGTCCTGCTTGAGTAGGGTCGGTACTGTTTCCCGTGCCGGCGAGTCCCACACACGCCGTGCGCCTAGTCAGTGTCACGGTATGGTGCGTAAATGCATTTCCCCTCGTCACAAAAAAAAAAAAGGTTAGGTAGGGTTATGTAATGAAAAAAAACCTTTATCGCTTTTCGGAAACGTTAAATTTCAACTTCAGGTAATACAAGAACTGTAGTTTTACGATGACATGGCTCATTTAATATTAAAATATCATTGTTTAATGTTAGTAGATAGGGCACGAACATTGTTCCACGGCGTAATTAGTATGCTCCGACGACTTCGTCCGCCGCTCGCACAATGCGTTGGGCACACACGGACATCTTGTGACATTCAAACTTGACCGTGCCTAAACTGGTCAACAATATACCGAGTCATGTAGAACATTGCAATTTCCACATTTAATTCGTTTGTTCCGATCAGTTTTCCAAAGATGAAATACTTGATTCTATATTGTGCTTTTTCCTTTATAATGTTACATAAACTCCAGAACCCACAACTGCTTTCTTGTTTAAGAAAAAAATCGTTTGATGAAATTCTTTCGAAAGGATGTCGCCAATAATCAAGTTAAAAATTCTCTTAAGTATCGAGAGACCATTTCTTTGTCAGTTTAAAAAAGTTGGGTTGTTTATTTTTCAATAAAATATAAAATTGTATTAAAAATGATTGTTGTACCTTTTTGATAAGGAATAACCAAATATTATCCCACTACACACCACCACCACATGTAAAGTAATTCCAAGACGAGAGCATATGTCTCGCACTCCCAAAAAGTTATCAGATCTCGTCCAAGCTTTTAACTCTACACGCGCTAACTCTACAAGGCCTAACTTAAGAAACCCTATGTGTCGCCGCACACGGGCCACCGACCACAACAACAAAACGCCGCCACCGGCATATTTCTTTTAGTTGTCATACATTTTATATGGACTCCCCACACACGGTACGCCGGTGGCCGCCGGTGGCCGCTACAATCGTCGTTGCTCGCTTCTCGTGGCCCGCTACGGCCACTTAATGCGCCGAAACAAAACGCCGCCACACGTCACTCGCGCGATTCCCCACCGCTCTCTCCCTTACCTTAGTCGGCTGCTGTCGCGCGCTTCAGCCACTTTAGTAGCCGCTTCTAGCTTCTCATGGAGGCGTTTGTGGCTGTGGCATGTGGCCCGTGTGCGGCGACACTTAAAGTTGCGGCACGAAACTCTAGCGCTTATTGCGCAGAAGTAAAAATTAAGATGATTAACAAGATGTCTTGGGGGGAAACGAGGTGCGCGGGTGGGCGTGCGTTGCGCCGATTGGCTCTCCAGTCTTACCCATGCGCAGCTTTTCCCTCCGCGTTTTGTTCAGCACTAGAGTTACGTGCCGCGACATGTACACCATAGTCAAAATATGTGGCACTTCTCTTTATTCACATGGGCGTTAGGGTGAAAAATGTATCACTGTTCATTACTTTTCTGTTATACTTACAATAGTTCTTATAGTAACAAAGTTTTACATGAAAATGTTTTTGGTGGGATATCCTTTGCAGGAGTTGTTTGGCATTAATTGGCTCGAAAACGAAAGTAACAAATCTGTGACTTGTGATGTAGAGTCATTTGTTTACCTTATTGTTAAAAAAAGAAAATATATTTTAATAAAATCGTAGGATAACTAGCAAAGTTCGCATGAAATAAACAAAATTGTGAATGGAATAATACTGCAGACATATATCGACCATTACCAATTGAATGTATAATAAAAATAGTTCTGTGCCTTTAACGAGTGCGTATCGAATATCAGGCAAAATACGCTAAACTGGTTCTGAATAACAAGTTTTCTATTCTTTGTTCTAGCTATGTAATTCAGGCGTCTTGCGCAAAAGCCTTGTTATAAGCATGAAAAGTATGGTGAGGTTGTTTTTCATGCGATCTGAAGCATAATGGCAAACGCGCGTGTGTGCTTGTTATGGTTTTTGGTATTGTTTATTGGACAGCGGCTTGTCAAAGCTGAGGTAAGGAAATTATTTATTATATTAATTAAGTAAGAAATTAAGGAAAAATATTGAAACAATTTTATGTAATAATTTTTATTATTTTAAAGCATGTAACTGCTTGATATTTAAATCTAAAGAAAATATAACTAGAAAAAAATCCACGCGGACCAAGCAGCAGGCGGGACTCGAACCCGCACCCTTCGCAATCCGGGCGAATGCACATGACATCAAGCAGTTACATGCTTTAAAATAATAAAAATTATAACTATAATTGCTATTTCTTCTTTCAAATGTTTAATACTTGTAAAAGTATTCATTTGACATTGTGGGTTACCTATAATGCGAAGAGATAGCGCTGCCTTGCAGCTTAAGAATGGCTAGAAGAATTTCAACACGGTCCGTGAGGGCCGTGGTAGCATAATTGGTCAGTGCATTCGCCCGGATTGCGAAGGGTGCGGGTTCGAGTCCCTTCTGCTGCCTGGTCTGCGTGGATTTTTTTCTAGTTATATTTTCTTTAATTTTATGTAAGCTAAAAAAGTTTGGTGTTTTTTTTCATGTTAAAAGGGCGGCAAACAAGCATAGGTCTTGCCTGATGTTAAGCGGCCTCCATAGCCCATAGACCCTTGCGATACAAAAAATATCACTCGCACCGTCGCCTACCCTGACCCGGTCCCCTACCCCATAGAGCCCTAGAACCTTATTCACTGACAGAAACAACACCATCAAGGTGTTACTTTATTGCGGTTTTTTGTAAAG